CAGAGTGGAGAGGCCTGTGGAGATCGGAGAGGTGAAGAGATCTGTGGAGAGTGGAGAGGCCTGTGGAGATTGGAGAGGTGAAGAGATCTGTGGAGAGTTGAGAGGCCCGCAGAAATTGGAAAGAACAATAGAGAGGTGGAGAGGCCCGCCGAGAAAGGACTGTGGAGATCAGAGAGGCCTGCGAAGAGCAGAGAGCCCTGCAGAGTGGAGAGGCCTATGGGATGGAGGAAAAAGGAAAAAAAACTTGCCCCCTTGGAGTTTGCAGGTGTTCCTAGTTCTGAGGTAACCCAGGACAGTGTTGCAGACTGACTAATAAAACTCCTTTGTCAGGTTTTTTTTTTTTTGGTCGGTTGTGGGGCTTGAACTCTGGGCCTGGGCACTGTCCCTCAGCTCTTCAGCTCAAGCTGAGTGCTCTACCACTTGAGCCACAGCGCCACTTCTGGTTTTCTGGTGGTTTGTTGGAGATAAGAGTTTCACGGACTTTCCTGCCCAGGTTGGCTTTGAACCACGATCCTCAGATCTTAGTGTCATTAGCAGGCATGAGCCACCAGCGCCCGTCTCCTTTGTCATCTTTAACTGTGCCTCCGTGTATTTCCTTGCTTGCAGGTTATTACAATACAAAGAATTTCCTGAGGATTGGTCCTGTGTGGAACCTGGCAGGGGAAACTAGAAGCTAGAGAGGAGGAGAGCCCGGCTCATGTGGCCCAACTCAGCAGTTGTTCCTGAGTTCCAGAGCTGGTTTGATTGTTGAAGGCACTGGAAGAATGGAAGCTGCCTCACAGCCTGAAACCCTGGAGGAGGACTCTAAGGGCAGATCTTGGCTGCTGAGAAAGAAGCTGCTGTAAACACAGTTGGGCCTGCCTCCACTCCTTCAGCTCCCTTGACTCCCACCCCAGCAGGACCTTCTTCTGTTCAGGCTGTGTTTGAGAATGATTCTGCTTGTCCCCATGTTTACATACTCTTTGGGAACTATGTTAGACCCCCAGAAGAAGGGAAAGGCCAGATCCCATTCTAGCACCTGCCCATACTCTACGAGGGTCTACAAGCAAGAGTTCCTTCAGAACCTGCTAGATGCCAAGCCTGGCAGAGTAGGGTTCTGGAATCACAGAACCTTGGACCCTGTCATTCCAGGCTTCATTGATTCCTCAGGAAAATCTGTTCTTGCTGTGTTCAGCATGCCTGGCCCCTGGCACGAGGAAGGAGCTTGACCTGAGTCCATAGACTCAGTGGATCAAGAGTACTAGAATTTCTGGGAGGCTTGGCATTCAACTCAACCAGCTTGTCTGGTGTTTCTTTCCTGCCTTAGATCCAGACCCCAGCTTGGCTCTTAGCAGCTGTCATTGCCCTGATCTGGGGACCCTAATTGAGACTTCAGAGGACAACCTAGCATCCTGGGTGTCTCTACAGGCATGGCCATATCCTGTGTCCTGTATGAATGGGAAGGTATCACAAAAGACATATATAAGAAGTTTGAGAAGCTCCAGCAACATCATATTGGGCAAGTTACTTAACTTCTCCATGCTCTGACTTCTCAATGGAATGGAGATCACAGGATCATTAGCAGGACTACTTGAGTTCTATGTGTGTGTACTTGAACAGCACAAGTACTCTACAAGCACTCTGCAAATCCCTCTCCATCCACACTTCCAGACAATGGCACCTCACTACAGGTAGCCAGCCTTAATCCTGAGGAAAGAACTTGCCAAATCTTGGTCCTATTTTACTTCAGGCTGGAGATTTGAATTTCTTTATTTCCCAGGACTCAGGTTGGAAGATCGGGTCAGGACAGCAAAGGATTTAAGGGGAAAACAAACATGGAAAAACTTCTGATGTTGTGGGAAAAAAATAACATCAGCTACAGGATGTGCTAGTATTTTGTCACAATCAACAGCTCAGTGGGAAGGTAACCTTGCTTTGTAGCTTGAAACACTGAGGCTCAGATATGTGAACTGCTTCGCCCAGCAATAACACCAATAGTGCGCCTTAAAGTATGGATAAAATTGACTCATACAAGAAACCTCCTGGCAAGTTGGGCTGGTTCCCACTTTGCCTGTGTGAACTCCTCCACCCAGTGAATGGGAGCCCAGGAATTTCAGGGTGCAAAATCCAGGCTTGGGGAGGGTAGGTTGAGAAGTTAGAAATGATCAGCTATATCCTAGCCAGGCCTGGTCTTCCAATGCCTGTGTTCTTTTGGGCCTGTGGGGTGATTTCCAAAGCTATGCCCAAGTCAGTGTCGCAGGACCAGGAGAACAATCAGGCATCTCTGGCCCTTGTACTAGACACAGAATTTGAGGAGGCTTGCCTTGGGAGGACTCATGGGTGGGTATGATCTTATTCCAGCATCCATACATCCAAGTGACATGGCTGAGGATCTGAGACTAAGAGGCCCAGGAGACATAGTTATCTCTATCTAAATCATTTGTCACCTGATAGGAGTTTCTAAGTCCAGACTACCCTATGTTGCTTCTCTAGATCTGTCTTACTGTTTCTCTCAATACCAATATGTATTTCAAGGTCCATCATTGCATCCACCCTTGCCAATACCCTAAGTTTCCCTGGCCCATTGTTTCACCAGTACATGCTCCTGGCGAAGTTTCTGCCCAAAGCCAACTGTCCTGGGCCTCTGGTAATGTCTGTTCCCACTTCCCACAGGGCTCTCAAAACTTCCAGGACTCTTGCTGCTTTCTTGGTCAGATCCCTCTCCCTCCTCCATAATAGCTCTGTGTGGTGCTCTATTCTCTCTGCTTCCACCTTGTAGAGACAAAACCTGTTGCCTAGGACCTCCCTTGAGTACCTGCCTCAAAACCCACAAAGTTACATGTAACCATATTCTTCCTTCTTTCTTTCAAAATAGAGCTGCAAGCCCAGTCTCTCTACCCTATGTCTTGGTTCCACCCTCCACCACCTGCTCAGGGACTTTAACTTCTTTCTATGTTTAAAAAATTTATAAAGACTACACTTTATTTCATTCATATGTGTACATATATATTCTGATAGTGTGTCCTTATAACAAAGAAGTGTGGGATTTTTTTTTTCCTTTCTGGTTGGTATGCAGATGTATTGGTATGTGATGGGGCAGCCACTTAGGATCAATGACATCTTTGCCTTGTATCTTCAACCCTTCTTTGATCAATGCTTAACCAGTCACATTTCTCCAATCTAAAAAAGCTTCCCATCAGTCACAGAGACTAGAGTTCCCATCTCTTGAACTCACTGAATCTCTATGCCAGTAGCCATGCCTAATCTAAGCTCTAGTATCTCATGTTGGGACTATATATTAATTTTCCAATGCATTTCTCTGCTCCTGTTTTTGTGCCTTCCAATTCATTCTTTACAGGAGGTATGATCATTTGTAAACATAGTTCTGACCAGACCATTTCTCTGCCTAACAATAAAAACTAAAAATAAATCCTCCCCTGACTTCCTTTTGACTGTAAGAAATTAGCCCATCTGCTAGGGGTCTCTGAAGCCCTGAGACTGGCCTGATATACCTTTCCAGCCTGACTTCTTACCTCTCTTCCCAGCCTCATCAACCCTCTGTAGTGTCTTCCAAGAGCCAAGGTCCTCTTGTCTCTGGGCCCCGCTTCCTGCTATTCTTTCCTTCTAGGCTCTTCTCATCCTCTCATCCCTCAGGGGCCAGCCAATGGTTGTTTGGCCATTTCTTCTCCTTTTTTTTTCCTTAAGATCCAATCCGTAGGCCCACACAGCTGCTAGCACAGTCTAAACCTATTCTGGCCACTGTACAGGCTTGGTTAAAATCTCTCCATGTTTTTCATTGTTCTAGAACAAAGCCTGCATTCCTCCGCAGGGCTGACAAAGCCACTTGGCACACAGGAGTAACAGAGGAAGGCTCCTACTCCACACTCTCATTTTCTCTTGAGGTGGGGGTCTGAGCCAGCTGTCGAGATTGTTGGGGAGAGGAAGCAAATCTAGTGCTGATTTGTTCAGCAACTTCTCACTGGAGGCTGGAGTGGGAATGTTACAGAAAAACAGATAGTGGATTGATCCCCGGAGTGTGTGTGTATGTGTGTGTGTGTGTGTTGTGTGTGTGTGTGTTTTAAAGGAAAGAGTGGAGTCCAAGAGCAGGGGTTAAGTAAGAGTAATGGAATAAAGAATTCTGTCAAAGAATCGGTGAAATGGTGAACCAAGAATCTTAACCAAGTGACAAGGGTGGTGAAGACAATAGTGGGAGGCATGGTCAGGAGGTAGCAGAGAGAGACAGAGAGCGAGTGAGCAGTGGACCGTTGGCTGTGATACAGACCTAACAGGGGTTTAGTGACATGACTATCAAGCTAGCTGCAAGGAGGGGGCAATGGGTCTGCTTTAGCAATGGAGGATGCAGAAGTGTTTCTGTCATGCCTGTATATCAGCACAGCACTCTCCATCTGCCTCATGTATTCTTTTCCTTTTATTTTCTTTTTTGCCAGTCTTGGGGCTTGAACTCCAGGCCTGGGCACTGTCTCTGAGCTTCTTTTGCTCAAGGCTAGCACTCTACCACTTGGGTCACAGGACTACTTTCAGCTTTTTCTGTTTATGAGGTACTGAGGAATCGAACCCAGGGCTTCATGCATTCTGGGCAAGCATCCTACCACTAAGCCACATTCCCAGCCCCTGTCTCATGTATTCTTAAGTAAACAGATGCCAACTTGCACTGTTCAGTAAAGTAGGCCCACTGGCAGCACCTGCCATATGCTCCATCCTACATCCTTCTGGGGGGGAGTCTGACTCTGGCCTTGCCTGGAGTGGCATCCACTCAGTCGGATGCAGCCTCCTGCCATTCTTAGGGGACAGGCAGAAGACAGGCAATGTAAGGGAGGTGCTGTCTCTAGAGAAAATATTGGTAATGATTCCTTTTTGAACCAGAGAGGGAACAAGTGTGATGGATTCAGGCTCCCCATCCCTGTCTCTGGGACTAGAAACCCACTGTTTTCCCAAACCTGTGTATCCACAAAGCCATTTTCTCTTCTCCCCTTATTGCTCCTTATTCCCTGAGAGGAGAAGACACCTGAGGCTTGGCTGAAATCTTAAAGGCAGCATTGATAAGCTAAGGTGGAAGCAAAGAGCTAGCCATGGACAAAATAGGGGTGGAGTAGAGGGAAGGAAGGTCTCCGAGGTGAGAGGGTGAGGTGAAGATGACGTGATGACAATAGCAGCTATCATTTTATTGCACATCTGTCAAGAGCCCAATCCCTCCATTCATGATGACATTTAATCCTCATAATCCATGGTGAAATGCTCCTCAAGACATTGAAGCCACAGAGGCTTAGTCCCTTGCCTGAGGTCCCAGCTGTAGGCTCTAGAGGGGGATTCCCACTTAGGTCTATCTCCTTCTGGAGCCCATGTCCCTCCAGCTCTGCCTCCAGTCACGGTTCTCAGTGAACCATACAGTTCTAGGTGGACAACAGCCATCCCCATGAAAATCCCTAATGGTGTTATGGGTCAAGGCTGAAGTTTAGGGATGTTGGAAATAAGGCTCAGGAATCTTCAAGGATTTCCCTGCTCAGAGACCCCAGACAGGCAGAATGACAGTTCACAGATACAAACCCTCAGTTCCAAGGAGACACACTAACCTTGCCTGGTGTGGAAGTGTAGGTACACAGATGGCCTCCTAATCGGACAGCATGCAATCCCATAGAAGAACTGACCCTGTGCTGAGACGCATGTACACTGTCACACACATGCACACATATTATTCATGTACCCAGGCATGACCTGGTATGGTTCTGGGGACACTGAGGCAGGCCCTAGGAAGGAGGGTCTGGCTTCATCAGATGAGGCTGGCAATGCTGGAGGTGGTCTCATGTCGCTGACCAGAAGATAGCCGTCCTGAGATGCTGAAGATGCTGCTGTTGCCGCTGTGGCCATTGTAGGTGGAGGGGGTCTCTGCACAGATGGCAGGGCAGTGTCCACTCACACCCACCTGATACAACAGCAGACCCAGCAGCAAGAGTGAGCCCAGGGAAGCCAGGGCAATTCCCACAGACAGCATGGCAGCCAGTGGCCGAGCCGGGGCAGGAGCAGCAGCCAGTCCAGCCAGGGTCAAGCCAGTGACAAGCAATACGAGGCCGCTGAGCAGTACCACAAGAGCATCAGCCCCTCCCCCACTGCGAAGCAGAGCTACATGGTGGGCCTGGCGGATGCAGTTCATGTCCTGTACGGCCGAGCTCATCAGCTGCTTTACTAGAACCAGCAGGGCCAGGAGGCAGAGCACAGTGCCCACGGCTAGGCGCCATTCTCCGGAGCGGCTGCTGGTGGAGGACAGCAGTGCCACACCGCCTGCCCCACAGCCAGCCACAAGGCCCACAGCCACAGAGAAACACAGAAGTGAGCGCCGGGGTTGCTGCGACCACCATAGCTCCACCTGCTCTGCCAGCACATCGGGGGGCAGTCCTTGGCCCGTTGGGGCTTGAGCTTGTTCTGACATGCTTGGTCAGGCAGGGGCCGCGTCTGTCGTCAGAGGGTGCAGCTCATGGCCGGGTGACCCCACCACCCGCTTTGCAGCTACAGGCCGCAGGTCTTGTTCCTTTCTCAGTCCAGGCTGTGGGTACCATCACCTGCAGGGGTGGGATCATAGTGTTATCTCCACCCACCCTAGCCCTCATGGTCTCACCCAGGAGCCTTGGGGGGAAGAGCCCTGAGTATCTTCCCCAGTGTTCCATGCTGTCCCCCAAAGTCCCTGCCTCTGCACCACCCCTAGGGAAAGCATTTCTAGTGACCCCAGAAGAATTCCATCTCACACAGAGCAACCCCTCTCCCCTCCAAGGAATCCTTTTGCCCAGCCCCTGACCTCTCTGGCGTTGGCTTTCTCGGCTGCCTGTCCCATCCTGGCTGGCCCGAGGGAGCTGGTGACACAGTGGATGATGAGATGAACAGCCAGAGATAAAGCCTCATTCAGGATCAGACTCACATGGCCTCAGCTGTCACTGCTGGTGCCTGGGGTGGGGGAGTTGTGGGGAAGGAGGGGGGTTGATTACTTAACCCTTCTGGAACCAGCAATCTGACGCTGGACTGGCAATAAAAGATGCCAGTTCCAAATTCTTTGCTCCAGCCCAAAGCCCCTTCCTGAGCCAAATAGCATCTTTAGGTACCATAGTCATCCCTGATGCAACAGGTCCCGGCCCAAACTGTGTCATCTTACCCCATACCTGCTCCTCTTGTGTGTTCCTCATCTGGGGTGGCACCACCACCCTCCCAGACTCCTCATCTCCCTCTGCCACTCTTAGGCCTGCTTTTAAACATGTCTGTGCAGCCCCTACCCCCACCCCGTGATCTTTCTCCTTCTGTTCCCTATTGTTCCCTCTCCTCTCCTGCTCCCTTCCTGGGTGCCATCTTCCTCCATGATTTCTTCAATTTGGTGCAGCCTCCAAGGGAGGGCTATGGACTTGAACCCCAGCCCAGCCCTTCCCATGAAAGGAAGCTAGCAGTGGTTACTCATTTAACCTGTCCTCCAAAGGACAGTCCATATGCTCCACACTGCCCCAAAATAAAGCGGCTTTGGGCTCTGCCTTCAAGGAGCCCAGTTTGCTTCTGCAGTAGACAGAAGTAAGCGGGGCCTGTTGGTTCACGTAAGGTGCCTGTTTGTGGGTTGCTGAGAACAGGGACCTAGGAGTCCAGGATAGGTGCTTAGAGCAAGACAGGACGCCCCAGAAGTTTTCTGCTTAGACCCTCTGTCTCCTTTATCTAAAAAGTGAGGATAATGGCAATGATCGTCACAGACGGGAGACAGTCAGCAAGGAGGCTCAAGGTATGCTTTTTAAGTGAACCTCTGCAACAGGATGGGGCAGAGGACAGAGATCCTGGATCCCTCCAGGAAAAGACATAGCTGTGCATGATTTATACCCTACAGGGGTATGCCTCCTCCTCAGTCCCTAAAAAGGTCACCTAAAGTGGGTGAGGCAAGTATGGGTGGGGCAGGTACAGGTGCTCCCAGGGGAGACAGGGGAGAGGCCCTGTGCAGAGTCAGTCCCAGCATTCTCCTGGGCTGTGGTTTGCATGTCTGAAAGTGCTGGCACAGGTATACTGGGACAGCGGGCCCAGGCTGGGGGTGGGGTGGAGGTTCTCAGAGGAAGAGTGGAAGAAAGTAGGGGGTGGGTTGGGGGAGGGGGGTGTAGGGCACTTACGAAGAGCCTGGAGGTGCTGGATCCGATTTGAGAAGACTGGGCTGGACAGGTGGAGCGCTTTAGCTCCGTTTCCGGGGAGACGCTTCACCTGCCTACCCAACCTGCACTCAGGTGAGCCAGGAGGGAGCGGGATTAACAGGTGTTGTTTCTAGGGCAGGGCGTGAGCCGATTGGCTGACGTGGCGCTGCTCCTTCGGCTGGGCAGAGACATTCCTAGGAAGGGAGGGGCTTCTGTCTGCTGCAGTCAGGACTGGAGCACAAAGCCTGAGTTCTAGCCCAGTTCCCAGCTGCAAAGCTACTTTAGCTTCAGCTCCACTATCAAGACCTCCCCTAGCCCCAGATGTTTGTCCTAAACCCTACCTAGGAATCTCCACTCCACCTTCATCCCAGTTCCAATCCCAAACCCAATCCCTCCCTCATCTGGTTTAAAATCCAAGCTCTAGCCCCAAAGCTCAGCACCAGATGCTCCTGGTACTTCTTTTTTCTTTTTCTTTTTATTGTGAAAATACTGTACAGAGGGGTTACAATTACATGGGCAAGATAATGAGTACATTTCTTATCAAGCATTGTAGGCTCCTTCTTTGTTTCCCCTTCCCATCCTCCCCGCCCCCAGTCCTCCCTGCCCCCACCCCAAATTGTAAAGTTCGTTTTCAACTTAGGGATTTGTACATCTCATTGTTGCAATGGGTCCACCTGTATCTCTATTTAAACAATTTGTTTTTCCTCTTCCCCTCCACAAATTATACCGACATCAAATACAGTGAAAGCAGGGGTTATACTGTGGGGGAGGGACATACAAAGCAACAAAGAAATA